ACCTATACAATGTGCAACACTGATATCCAGTTATCTGATATGAAAAAGGCTAGAATTCACAAATCCAGGATGTTTAAAAGTTAAACAGGATGGGTACAGTAGCCAGCAGCTCAAGAGGCTGAGCAGAAGGATTGCTATTTTTTTTTTTTTTTGATGCTGGGAATTGAACCCAGGGCCTTGTGCATGCAAGGCAAACATTCTACCAACTGAGCTATATCCCCAGCCCAGGATCCCAAATTTCAAAGCCAGCCTCAGAAATGGCAAGGCACTTAGCAACTCAGTGAGACCCTGTCTCTAAATAAATTCAAAATAGGGCTGGGGAGGTGGTTCAGTGGTTGARCATCCCCAAGTTCAATCCCCAGGACCCCTTACCCCACAAAAAATTAAAATGGCTTAGCTTATAGCAATAAACTACTCTGGCTTAATTTACCTCTTCGTACTTATTATAGTCTCTCCAGAGTTGTTCAATATTGATCATTGGATTAACACAACCTCGTTGATAAACTCTTCGGACAGCTGTTATTCTCTGATTTTCTGCATAAGATCCAACTGCTTCCCTGAGATTGAATAAGAAATGTCATCATTATTATTACAGTTAAATCAACTGTTTACATAAAAATGTAAATATAAAGTATAAAACTATACTTACACGCCTTTTAAAAAATTGATGTAATCTACCCAAATCTAAGAAATAAAACAAAATGTTAGTATCTTTCTTGATACTTTAAGTATATATATTTAAGGGTATAGAATTTAAGTGTATATATTTAAAAATTTTAAATTTACCTGATAGGACATAATTTCCATTCCAATTTTATCCAGTGCAAAGTCATAAGCTTGAGCCATTTTTTCTCTGCAATGAATGTGAAAGACATGCTTTTGTTTTTTTTTAAATGTGTTATCAAAATATGTCTACATTTAAAACCTAACTTCTGGACATATAAGAATAGCACTTGAATCTTTTCTATAAACAAAAATTAAGGACATCATTGTAAGTACATAAAGTAATTATTTTAAGCTTGTCATGTTTATTAATTTATGAACTATTTCCTTTGTCTACTGCTTGTGGCTATCAAAGAGAAGGCCCATGTCTTATTTATCTTTTTATCCTTTAAATTGCCTAATTTATACACAGCAGATTAAAGTGTGAAAATAATGAGATTTCTCATTAAGGAGGTAATTTATATCTAAAGATTTATTAGCTTGAAAGTAAAATTTAAGGAGAAAGAACTCAGGAAAAGATAATCAAGATATAATTCTAGTCATAGAAATAATTTGTTATATACAAAAATAATATCCAAGAAGGTCCACTATTTAAATTAAGCAAAGATGGGTAGGTAGGTGATGTTAAGTCATAATGGGGAATTAAACTACCCAATCCTTAGCCTTGGATCAAGTGGCACATTGCATTGAGAGGTACCAGAGCAAGTGTGAAGATGTTTTTTAAACGTTTGACAAGTCTCTCACAATGGTCTGGTGTTGTAAATACATGGTGCTTCAATATGGAAAGTCTTCTRTGATTAAATTCTCTAGAGTAAGACTAATACCAGTGGCTTTCTTTTGAAGCACTTTTCTTGATTTCTTAGAGAATCCTGAGTTTATATTTTTGGTATTGGGGACTGAACGGAGGTCTCAATCAGAATCTCACATATTCTAGGCATGTGCTCTACACCTGAGCTACACCCCTACCAAAAATCTTGGTTTTAAATCCTTAAGTCTTTTCTAAATGGAAGAAAGACATGATGTTAGTTTCTGTGRAACTAAATGAAAATATCATGCATTCTTAAGATCTTGATTTTACTTACTTGTAACTTGGTAGTTTACCCTTGGTTTCCCGGACATATGAAAGATAACACTTCCATAAATCAATGTGCAAAACCTTCATAAGGCATCTCTGAAATAGCTTTAAATACAAGAAACTATTATCAGAATTCAGTTAAATAAATTTCACATATACATGAATGAAATGGAACTTAAAAAAACAATTTCAGCTTCTTTCAGAAATTTCTTCTCCTTCCTTCCTTCCTTCCTTTCCTTTTTTTTTTTCTTTTCCAGTCTCCATAGAGACTGTCAAAAATTGCCAGTGCTGACTACATTGCAAGTCATCTCAGTGGGATATTGGGAAAAGTTTTCAATTAGTAATAAGTACACCTTGGATAAACCTCATCAGATGATATTAAAACTGCAAAAAGCTAAGAATTTATTTTCTTATAAATAAAAGGCAAATAAAATTTCCCTCTGGTTTTCAGCTTGAACAGTTAAATCATTTTCATGTTTCTGATCAGTAGAATACAACTTTTCTTTTTTTTCTCCCCACCACCACTAAATTAAAAAAAAAAGATAAAGAAAATTATTCTTTTTCTTTTCCAATTTTTCTATGATGAATATTTTAAGCATATAAAAAGGTCAATAAAGTAAAATTCCTATATAATCACTACCTAGATTCAGAAACTGTCAATATTTTACCATATTTGTCTTATATATACAATAATAAATTCCAGCATAAAATACAAGTGTATTTAAAAGAACTCACCTTTTCAACCTTGTCATAATTTTTAGCTTTAATCTGAAGAGAAACAAAGATAATCATAGCATTAGCGTTATTGTTTTTAGAGTATCAAAACACTATTTCTGGATTGTTGACTAATTTTTTGACCAGTTTTTAACCAACCTTGCAAATTCACCTCTACACTTATTGATTAATCTTGCTCTTTAATAATAACAATAGAAGTTAGACCCCAACATGGATAATTTATATAATGGATATAAATTGATTCTATATGAATTTTCAAAGTCATCTACACTTAAACTTGTGAATATAAAATTTTRTTAAAGTCACAACACAAATATAGAAATATATACAAATAGGGCTTTCTGTATCTACTGAAGACAAATTCTACTTAAAGCTTTACCTTCCCTGAATAGCTCCTACTAGAACAATTTGAACACAGCAACAATATGATCTGCAAATCTTAACTACACTTATTTAGACACTCAGTCATCGGATTGCAGGCACTGTGCTAAGTACTGAGACTACCTCAGTGAATAAGACACATCTGCTAACGTTTTTATGGGAAAAATGAAGCAAGAAAGAGGTCATTATAAGAAATTGTGCTAAGTGCTAAGATGGGGAAAGTACAGTGTGCTATTGGAGCATTTAAGAGGAGCAAAACAACTCAAAAGAGTTGGGGAATTGCAAAAGATTGCCTGGAGAAACATTAAGATCTTAAGGATGAGATGGCTGCTAAACAACAGGAGTTATTCTAGGCAGGAGGAAAAACTTGCAAAGGCAAAGATTAAATACTATTAAGTTTCCCTTTCTTATCTTTTGAGTACTTTCATTAATTGTTCAATTGTTATATTGGTAAATCTTTGTTTTACTCTGGTAAACAAATATTTTGGTTGSTTAGAGAAATTCTGACTTGTCTTTTTCTCTCAAGTAGTCTAGAAAAAATTTTTCCAGCTTTCTAGCTTAAACTGCCTCAGATGAAACTATCTTTTTCTGTTTGTTTTGTTTATAACTTGCTCTTTCTCTCTGGAACTTCCAAATCTTCATTTTATTCTTCAGTTTTCATAAATTTTACACCACATGCCTTTGTTCTTTAAGGCACTTAGCCCTGAAGTCAGACCTCTTAGGTTCACGTTTAGGTTTCACTTAACCTCCTTTTTCTTCATTGGAGTAAGGGAACTAGTAGTATCTATTTTTCAGGGATATTCTGAGGAGTCAATGAATTAATAAATGTGAAACCTTTAGAATACTGGTAGAGTCAGTRCTCAGTAATTATTTA